TATGTTCCAGGTGGATGGCCAGATCCAGTTTACTTTGCATACGTGAAGAAACAGGCTAGGGACGCGGGTGTTACGGTGCCATTTATCAGTAATGACGCTTGTAGGTTATCGTTCTTTTCTCTCAAATCATGCGACATCAACGAGGAAGAGAGAGGTTTTTAGTGCTGGTATTGACAGAGCTAACATTAAACAGATGCGGGTGGACATTTTGCACCAGGTGACGTGGTTAATGGAACTACCATTGGAGATGTTGATATCTACGGTCATGATTCCTATCCATTAGGATTCGATTGCGCACATCCAACTACCTGGCCTGTTGGAAATTTACCGACTTATTTTGCGGCGAGTCATGAGGCGCAAAGTCCAAGTACATTCTATTCCATCAACGAATTCCAAGGTGGTGCTTTTGATCCTTGGGGTGGTCTTGTGAGTCTCTTTTCTTGTAGATTGTTTGCTGTCACTAAACTTTTATAGGGATTTGAAGCATGTGCTCAACTCTTGAATGAACAATTCGAGAGAGTCTTCAACAAGAATGATTTTGCTTCGGGCGTTGCTCTTTTGAGTTTATATATGATCTGTGAGTCTTTGATATTATGGCACATGAAATAAATACTGATTGTCTCTCAGATGGTGGCACAAACTGGGGAAATCTTGGTCATGCCGGTAAGCAATGAAATTCTGTTCTATCGTTAGCTATTACTCACATTATTAGGTGGCTACACATCTTACGACTATGGCGCTGCCATTTCTGAAAACCGTGAAATCACTCGTGAGAAGTACAGCGAGTTGAAGTTAGAAGCCAACTTTTTGAAAGTCAGCCCTGCATATCTCACTACATCTGTTGGTGCAGCTGCCAATGGCACATACACCAGCAGTAATGCCATCACCACAACTCCCCTTCTTGGCAATGGAACCGTCACAAACTTCTATATCGTTCGCCATTCGGATTATCAAACTTTGGCTTCTACAAACTATAAGTTGACTGTTACCACAAGTCAAGGCGCTCTTACTATCCCTCAATTGAACTCAAGTCTTACTCTAAATGGTAGAGATTCAAAATGGCACGTAACAGACTATGACATCGGAGGAACATCACTCCTCTACTCTACAGCAGAAATCTTCACTTGGAAGAAGTTTAATGATAAGACTGTTTTGGTCGTTTATGGTGGACCAGGAGAATCTCATGAATTGGCTGTAGTTTCAAAGAGCTCAGCACAAGTTATTGAGGGCTCAGGTGTTACAAGCAAGAGTACTAATGGTTCGACGATTCTTAATTGGCAAACTTCTACTACACGTAGAGTGGTCAAGGTTGGTAGCGTATTTGTCTACATTTTGGACCGAAACACTGCGTACAATTATTGGGTGCCAGACTTTGCCAGAACCGACAAATGGGGTGCATTGTAAGTGTTTTAATCTAGTTTCGGTCTCACATAGCCGCTAACACAAAATCAGCGCCTCAAGCATCAAAAACACAGCTTCTGTCATCGTAGAAGCAGGTTACCTCGTTCGATCCGTTTCAACCCAGGGTTCAGATCTTCATATCTACGGTGATCTCAACGCTACCGTCCCATTCAAAGTAATTGGTGCCCCTAAAGGAACTAAGAACCTTTACTTCAACTCCCAAAAGGTCTCTTACAAGACGGATTCTACAACTGGTGAACTGTCATCAACACTCACCTACACAGCCCCAAAAATCTCTCTTCCATCCCTCTCAACTCTCTCTTGGAAATACCTCGACAATCTCCCTGAAATCAAATCCTCTTACGACGACTCAGCCTGGACGGTCGCCAACAAAAACTCAACAGCTAACCCCTACCTCACTCCTCTCCTAACCCCTACCGTTCTCAATGGTCCAGATTACGGTTACAGCACCGGAGTGTTAATCTTCCGCGGCCATTTTGTCGCAACCGGCAATGAATCCACCCTTTACATCTCCACCCAAGGAGGTTCCGCCTTCGGCTCATCCGTCTGGCTCAACTCAACCTACATCGGTTCCTGGGTCGGCGCCGACTATGCCGAAGCCAAAAACTCTACTTACACCTTACCCAATCTAAAAGCTGGCTCCAAGTACATCTTCACAGTCGTAATCGACAACAACGGTCTCGATGAAAACTGGACCGTAGGAACCGAGGAAATGAAATCTCCACGAGGAATCCTCAACTACGTTCTATCCGGCCACGCTAAAGACTCCATAACCTGGAAACTCACCGGAAATCTCGGCGGAGAACAATACATCGATCAAGTGCGCGGTCCATTGAACGAGGGTGGTCTCTATGCCGAACGTCAAGGATACACGCAGCCTTCTCCTCCTTCTTCATCGTGGAGTGCTGGATCACCTTTGCAAGGAATCAAGAGTGCAGGCGTGGGATTCTGGACAAGTACCTTTAAATTGGATTTGCCAAAGGGTTATGATGTACCCCTCGCATTCAATTTCGGAAACTCGACCACGTCGAATGGAACCAGTGATTACAGAGTCCAACTTTGGGTTAACGGATGGCAGTTTGGCAAATACGTTAACAACGTTGGACCGCAGACCAGCTTCCCAGTACCACAGGGTATGTCATTTTCATTTTTCATCTTTTCTTCCCCATCTTCACTCATCCTTCTTGTATATATATATGTGCACGAAAGTTACTAACTCACCCCTCTCCGCAGGAATCCTCAACTACAACGGTCAAAATACCCTCGCCATCGAACTCTGGGCTCAACAAGCCGCAGGCGCGGCATTATCCAATTTCACATTGACGGCTGGAACTCCCGTCCTGACGAGTTTGAAGGCGCCTAGTTTGGTGCATAGTCCGGCGTGGAGTAAGAGGAAAGGTGCTTATTGATTTGAGAGTGGAATTTTGGGAGGCGAAAGAGAATTGGAAATAGCGGCGAAAGGAATGCTAGTTACCTAGTGTATGGAAGAGGTATTAGGTATATATACGAGAAATTATACATATTCAGCCACTTGTTTTTGTCGTCAGTTTTCACTCACAGTCTCGTTTCTCCGATGCGATGACTTTCATCTGTGAATGAATAATCGTACGTAACAATCATGCAACAAGAAAAGAAACATGACAGGTTTCAAACAACAGTCTTCTTCGTAAGAGGTATCAAAATTGAGTATCTGGCTCTTTCGCCAATATGCTACATATCCTTTATATCGCTAGCACAAATGCATATGATAATGTACAAAAAATCTGATAAGATGCGATGATTTGTACAATTCCCTCAAATTCCTTCTCGATCGTCTGATTCGAATCTATGAACGACGTATAATAAGAGTGAAGATGGCTCCTACAAGTACTGCTCCCCCAGCGGCACTTTCTAATGCTATGATCGTTATATCTCTTTTTGGTATCGAAATTTGTTGTGTACTCCATAAATCTATTGCCGCAGCTTTCCCGGCTTCCATTTTTTCTTTCCAAGATTCTACGTTTCGGTAATCGAATGCGGGCTTAGAATAAGGTATGCTCAATTCTGCAGTATCCATTGCTGCTGCTGCTTCGCCAATTTCTGGAGCTGGCTCGTTATTTGATTCGTGATGTGATACTTCACCGTCCATTACAGCAGCTACTGCTTCTACCGCCGGTTCATCCAGGGCCTTTTCTCCGATCTCTTCTTCCAATTCCTGGACACCAGATGCGACGATCTCATCCAAGCTTACTTCTGAACCCTCTCCCCCACCAACTTCAGCACCTCGAATAGCTGTCGACATGGCAAAGCTCTTTTCCTTCTCTAGTGCCTCTCTAACTTTGTCTTCGAATCCTGCAACCAATCTTCTCCTTCTCCACGGTTCAAATCCAAATTGGAATACCAAGAATAATAAGACATTGACTCCCATTAATCCCCATGTTCCCCATGTACTCATTCTTCGTATCTTGTCACTCCAAATCTGTTCCTCGTGATATCGGGATAATATACTACTGCTCAATTCCCCTGCTGCTTTCTCAGCTTCGCGTTCCGCATCTGCGAGTCGAGTAGCTGCTTCCTGAACTGCCTGTTCGTTGGTATGATCCATACGGTATAGATGTGTAAAACGCTCGAGATCAGCAGGTGTCCATGTATCTTTCCTCGCTAGCAAAGTTGTAACCTCACGTTGAGAAGAAGCACGATCTGCGACGGTGGTTTTGTAGTGTAATCGAGTGCTTCGGACTTGCTCTTTGGAATTGGCAACTTGGGTTTCGAGATCGGTGATTTTGTTCTTGAGGGCTTCAATGCCGGAGTAGCCTGTGAGGTCGTTGATTCGTTGAGATGCTATGAATATGTTGCCTTGCATATGATCCATGAGGTGGGATAGTTTCTTTGTGACTGCCAGACGTCGACTTTCGAGTGTGGAAGGGAGCTCTCCATCTTTTTCGGGTTTGGGAGAGGGAGAGGCATCTTGTTCGCTGGACTCGGGAGTAGGAGTAGGCTTTTCTTCGACTTGGGGTTTGGGTTCTTCAGGCGGAGGTGTAACCTTGGGTCGAAGATGAGGAGGTGGTTCTATTATAGGTCTCTGATCATCTGCGAAATGTCGCCGCAGACTAGGAGAATAGATTCTACATTGTAGACAGATTGACGATTTGACCGAAGGTCGAGGAGAGATCCTTAGAGTTCTCGATATGGAGACTGAACCTGAGTCGATTGCAAACCGAGGAACGAGTCTTGTCAATGGTTGCATTGCAATTGACAATTGTCTTTCCTCTTTTTGGTGAGGAAATTGAGTCGAGCTGAGGACTTTGTTACTCTCTTTCCTTGACCTTTTTACCTTACATCAAGAGAGAAAAGAGAATATTCGGTCAAGATTCCCCAGTGGAGCTCTGACCCAATTGATGGATGGTGTTGTGGGCTTGAATAACCCTGCTCGCCCTGTGAATAATGTAAATAATGTCTGAACGAGTCTTGACTGTATTTCTTCACCGCTTTTATGATGATGTCGAGTGAATAAATGAGTGATAGAGGGGCAAACTCGGGGTATTATTACATCCATAGGTACGACGAGTAGGTACTGGTAAATAAATTTATTTAACCCCACTACGATAACTTTATCATCATCATTAATACAACCAACTTCAATACATTCACATACATTCATCAATACATTCAATACGCCGGATTATTTGTATATAAAAGATTCCTCTTTATATTTCATTCTTTTGCTTGTTTATAGACTTTTGGAATCCCTTCTTCTTATCAATGTAAGTTCGCAGTCCCAACAAAACTCAAACAATGGCGATGTCTATCTCATCTCAACTTCCTACCTTTCATCCTGTTTGCCAACTACCAACTACCACCAACTACAACCAACTGCCAACTACCAACTCTGCTGCCATTGATTCACATTCCCAAGACACATCGACGAGAGCCAGCATCAATCGCTAATAACATCACCCAGACCCCATTACCCTCTCAACATATCCAAAATGGGATCAACTACTCTCCCCGCCATGCAAACCTCCCCTAAATATATCTTCTTCACCGATTTCGATGGCACAATCACAACCCGCGATTCCAACGATTTCATGACAGATAACCTTGGATTCGGTCAAGAACTACGCAAGCAAGGAAACAAAGATGTCCTCGATGGTACAAAGACCTTCCGCGATTCTTTCCAATCAATGATGGATAGCATCAAGACTCCATATAGCAAGTGCATATCAACTCTTATCGAAAACATCAAATTAGATCCTGGATTCAAGGAGTTTTTCGAATGGGCAAGAGAGAACAATATGCCAGTTGTTATTTTGAGTGGTGGAATGGAACCAATTATTAGAGCATTATTGGAACATCTCTTGGGAAAGAAAGAAGCTGCCGAAATTCAGATTGTCAGTAACCAGGTTGAAGTTAGAGAAGGATTCAAGAGTCTTGATGAGGAGGGAGGTTGGAATATTGTCTACCATGATGAAAGGTATAGTCTTGGCCCTAGGAAAAAAACTTACTAAAGGCAAAGCTAATTCCAAATAGTCATTTCGGACATGATAAATCTAGAGAGATTAGACCATACGCCGCACTCCCAGATGATCAAAGACCAACCATGTTTTACGCTGGAGATGGAGTCTCAGATCTCTCGGCTGCTAAGGAGACTGATCTGTTATTCGCCAAAAAGGGTCATGATCTCATTACCTATTGTGTAAGAGAAAAGGTTCCATTCACAATCTTTGAGGATTGGACTTCTATTTTATCAACCGTAAAGGATGTCGTTGCTGGTAAAACGACTGTAAAAGAAGTCTACGCTGCTGGTATTGAGGACTTCGAGAGTGAAAACAAGGCATAGACTATGTTGGGCTCAATGTTTTGTCCATAGAACATAGACTGTTCATTAGAATTAGAATTATAGAGATGCACGTAAGAATATACAAGTTGCTTTCTCTCTTGACACCTTGTCTAGGATGGTTAGAAAATAACTCGTATTTATCTACTGGCTCACAATTTACTATTCCATCTTCATTTTCTAGGCCTATAAACCATTTTTACGAACTCCTGCTTCTCATAATCACCCTCAGCAACTATAGGAACCCTCCCCAACTCCTCAAATCCAGTAGCAAGATATACTGGCTCCCCCATTGCACTCGCCGACAAAACGAGAGGTGCATTATCACGTATCGATCTCTCAATGCCCCATTTCAAGAGTTGAGTAGCATAACCTCGACGTCGAAAGTCTGGATGAGTGCCTATCAAATTGAGATAGAATTCATCACCATTAAACATCTCAGTAAATTCCTTTCGGGCTTCACCAATAGCTTTTATAAAAGCTGCGTCATAAGTGGGATCTGTGTCTCTTCGAGTGTCCGCGCCAGCTGCTTTCATTGCTTCTCCCGCTTGTTGAAGTTAGTTTTTTAAGGGTCTGAACTTATTGAGGGGAGAACCGTACGCGTTGGAGGATTGTATGTTTCTCCTTTTGCTTTACATATCCGCCTATTCGCATACGAAGCATCCCATATAGAAAAAGCAGCGACTTTCCAAACCGAATCTTCTTCAACTTCCACAATCATAGTTAGGTAGTCTGGATACTTTCCAGAAACCATAAGCTCAATGTAGAGACGAGAATACTTGAACAGATCTTCGGGATATTTATCACGATTGATGTATCGATATCGCCATGTTGGATCAGAGGTTAGGGACGCAATCATACCGATTCGGATGGCATCGATATCTTTGGGTTCTGCTTCACGAATGCGTGATTTAGCCATGGGTTTTGAAGGGGGTGTTGCCATTATAACAGCTAGGACTTGACGCTATCTCGCTAATGTAAAATGGATAGAGTGGTCTGGTGAGGGTGTTTGAGAGTTAAACTAGCTTGTAGATTTATTAATGTGATATAGATATATAGGAGATCAAGAACAGTTGTCTAACATGATTATATTATGAGAAACGTATGACTCATCTGCGATTATCAGATTCATACATACAGATGGATGCCTCGTTCATCCCACTTCTGACAAATATGAAAGGGTAAGTCATAGTTGTTTCTACTCATACAGTAAAACCTCTCCATAAAGATCCCCCCTATAAGAATAACCTTTATTATCCTTAATTTTTTTTAATCCTAACAATTTTTAGGGTTAAAAAAGACTTACATTCTTAAAACCCTTTTATTAGAGTATCCTTATATTTCTCAATTCTAGGATTATATATATATTTTTATTGGATCAATAAAATCATTAGGATTAGTTATTATATAATAAATATATTAGGGTTTTCAAAAGATTCAATTGAAAATCTAAAAAATATTACAAAAATAGTTTGATCAAAACTAATCGAAAATCAGTTACTATCAAATCGGGATTAGTCAGATATTGTATGGACAAGGGAATTCACTCAAGGGAATTCACTTTAAGGAAATGACTTCAATACAATGGCAACTGTATTAAAGGTATTTAGGCGAAAGCGAAGGAGACTAGCTCTTTCAGTAGTGCCTATATAAGGCCTACTATTTCCCTCATTAGCTAGCTCCTTAGATTGAATACAAATAGACATTTTAGGGGCCTACTCATAGTGGGAACCACGTCTTCCGTATCTCTCTCAAACCAACAGATATCTTTATATAAGGATACCTCTATATATCCTTAAAAAAGTCTACAAAAACCAGTATCCTTATGGAGAGGTTTTGCTGTATTTCAAACTCAAATTCAAATGCAAAGGAAGCGTTCAAGTCCTCGAAACAGCTAAGGCCGAAGATAGCCTGATCGTTACAAACATTAGGGAGTCATCGCTTCGATATGGATGCTTATCAGAAATTGTGGGCTAGATGAAGAACATCCACAAGACTCGGGTTGGTTGGTAACAGCCAAAACACAATCTAGGGCAGAAGTTATCTCGTCTCGATCCTGCATTCGAAGTTACTAAAAGCGGAGGGGCGGGATGCATCTAGTGAACATGCTCGGGTCGGCGGGATTGTCCTTCCAACTACCCAAACTGTGATCTGAGCTGAAACACTTTCAAGTGGCTCAATCCATACGATCTACCAATGATATACTTACACGCAGGAAAATGCTTAATGTGAGAGTATCGCATGATAGTAATAGTAATACCATTCTCGAAGTGAATATCATTTATACTTGTTCAGTAACACTTATTAGCTCAGGTAGCTCAGGTACCGGAGGGTTCCTGTGTGGTCGAAAGGATAGCTTTAGAATGTCTCTAACCGGTTAAGGTTATCGTAGAAATGGAAGGTTTGCCGATGTCATGTTGTGCGGGGTAATTTTTCCCCAGACCCCGAGACTCCTTCAATGTTTCAACTATTGGCTTCTCGAGGAGGCTAAACTCACAAGCACGACGACGTCATACGAGTACAAGAGAATTTTGTACCCGTAGACCGAAATCACGCACGACAGTTCTATGTTTTACAGATTACAAGACAATATGCGTAGGAAGGTCTACCGAAAAGAGGAGTATTCTTTGATAGTCACAAATGCGTTGTTAAACATATAAATATCCATCCATCACCTGGTAATTCACAAATATACATACTATTTCACGTCCTCCACTAATCCATACTCATACTACTGTAACACGTCAACATGGGAAGCATTGAAGTTGAAAATCCTATACCGTCGTCCCAACGAGTCGAACCTGGCTCATTCCAATTACGACTCGCCAACCTCCCTAAATCTACAGCTGAGAAGTCCATCGACGCTACAAAGATTGCTTCAGATTTCGTTGATCGCTTTAATCAAACAATCAACTCTGCTGACGTTTCATCACTTTCTACGCTCTTCCTGGAAGAATCATATTGGCGCGATCAACTGTGTCTTTCATGGGACTTTCACACTCTCCATGGCCCTTCCAAAATTCTTGAATTGTTCAGTAAAACAAACGGCTCACGCTTAAAATCCATCGCACTTGATTCAAGCTCAGAATTTCGATCACCAAAATTAACGCCGCTTGACGTTGATAGAAAGACGAATGTCATTCAGGCTTTCATAAAGGTCGAGACGGATGTTGGTAAGGGGGCTGGAATTGCTAGATTAGTAAATGACGATGGAACGTGGAAAGTATTTACGCTCTATACTTTCCTGGAAAACTTGAATGGCTACGAGGAGAGTGTAGGAAAGAAGAGGCCTTATGGTGTGAAACATGGAGAGAAGACGGAGAAAGAAAATTGGCTGGATAGAAGAAATCTTGAGAAAGATTTTGGTAATGGAATTGAGCCGACGGTATTGATTCTTGGTAAGTACTTCCATTGTAGATGATTGAGAAAATCAAGTGCAATATTAACATTCTTCAGGTGCTGGACAAGGTGGCTTGACAGTAGCAGCAAGACTAAAAATGCTTGGTGTTACATCACTCATCGTTGATCGAGAAGAACGAATCGGTGATAATTGGAGAACAAGATATCATCAACTGGTTCTTCATGATCCTGTTTGGTTTGATCATCTCCCATATCTACCCTTCCCTGAGAATTGGCCAGTATTTACTCCCAAGGATAAATTAGGGGATTGGTTTGAAGCGTATGTGAGTTTATTAGAACTTAATGCTTGGACTCAAACTACCATTACCACCACTTCATGGAGTGATCAAACCAAGCAATGGATAGTCACTCTAGAAAGGACCAGAAATGGACAGAAGGAAATGAGGATTGTTCATCCAAAAGTATGTTATTTTGCAATGATCTCAGTGAATAATTACTAATTCTCTGTAGCACATCATACAAGCAACCGGTGCAAGTGGAGAGCCAAACTTTCCTTCTCATATCAAGGGAATCGACACCTTCAAAGGTCGAGTCGTTCATTCATCCAAATTCCCTGGAGCAACTGAATCTCGTGGTCAAAATAAAAAAGCAATTGTGGTTGGTTGTTGTAATTCTGGTCATGACATTGCTCAGGATTTATATGAACATGGCTATGAAGTAACCATTGTTCAAAGATCAACTACATATGTCATTGGCACGGAAACAAGTGCGGATGCTCAATCAAGTCTTTACGGAGAAAATGGCATTTCGACTTTTGATGCCGATATGGTCTTTCACAGCATGCCGAATCCGGTACTCAAGAAGTTGAATGTTGAAGGTACCAAGCAAGTGGCCAAGATTGATGAGAAATTACTTCAAGGTCTCGAAAAGGCTGGATTCAAACTTGACAAAGGACCAGATGGAGCAGGTCTTTGGATCAAATATCTTCAACGCGGTGGTGGCTATTATATGGATGTTGGATGTTCTCAACTTATCATCGATGGGAAAATTAAAGTCAAGCAAGGTCAAGAAATCACGGGAATCAGAGAAAATGGTATGGAGTTTGCAGATGGGTCATTAATCGAAGCAGACGAAATTGTATTCGCAACAGGATACCTGAATATGAGAACACAATGCAGGAAAATCTTTGGAGATGAAGTGGCGGATAGAGTTAAGGATGTTTGGGGATTTGACGAAGAAGGAGAAGTTAGAACTATCTGGAGGAAGACTGGTCATGAAGGATTTTGGTTTATGGGTGGAAATTTGGCTTTGTGTAGATGGCAGAGTAAGAGGTTGGCGTTATTGATTAAGGGATTGGTGGAGGGTATAACGAAGTATGATGATATTTGAGTTATTTATGGTGACGGCGACAGGATATAATGGAGCTGATAGCTTTAGTTAGTGGGATATTAAATTTCAATCATCAAACTAATTCAAAAATGACTTCTTCACTTCCTCGAACATTCCACTTAAGGTTATATAAGTTGACATGTCGGGCGACTTCTACTGCATATTCATTCATATTCAGGAAAGTGGCTAAAAATCCAAAAACCTCATATTTGAGAAGTTGGTAATCCCGTAAACATTTAACGAGCTCATATACTCGACTCGAGTATGGTGTATAGATCCTACCTCCTCGCGAGCGAGACCTTGATAGAGCCTCCAGCCCGGCCCTTCCCTGCCCCCCCGCCCAGATTCACTTGATATATCTGCAAGCCGTCATATCAGAACAACAACAGATTACTCGCATATCCATTCCGTGCATTCCCGTGCCAAGCCAGATCATGCCCGACTAATGCATTCCATCCGCCCGTCCCCGATATCGCCCCTCATACCCACCATCCATCCGAACAAATTTTCGTACAGAACAGAACCCCACTGCATTCACTACACATCCAAGTTGATGATTTCAATATATACACACACAAGCAGCGTCTCTCCATCGAATAACTAGGTCGCTTAGCTCAGTTGGTTAGAGCGTGGTGCTAATATCTCATCTGATTCATCAGCCAGGTTTGGCACGCCAAGGTCGGCGGTTCGAAACCGCCAGTGATCAATTTTGTCGTTTTTTGACGCTCACGTTGACTCCTAGGGTTTATTTTATGTAAATAAAGTCTGGTGTTGTTGTGTTGCTATCTGTGAACACGCCAATCTTTGTAGGAGAGAGTTCAATACTTGAAGCGATCATCAAAATTTTTGCTCATTAGGGATTACATTCGGTCGAGTCCGGATATATGTGAACCGGCAAATAGTTTTCTGGAAAAGTGTTTGGCTCTCGTAGCAGTCAATTTCTTTTTTCCCGTTGCATGAGGATCATTTTGATTCTAAAGTACTTGAAGGACTTGTGGTGAATTGAAATCTTAGAGGGGTAGTTTTAATATTCTACTCATCAAAAAAAGTAAAGACAAAATAATTTTCATCACCCATAAAATCTCCACATTAAAAATGAGTATGTAGAACTTTGTTCGCCCTTCTTTTGCACAAAGGAAAATAAACAGACAACCACAGCGAATTTTAAAAAGATTCTGTTCCCAGGAAACGACGACAAAATAGAGAATAAACTGACAAAACGACATGTGCAGGATTTGAACCTACGAGGCCGAAACCATAAGATAACCGAATTATTCATTCAAGTCTTACCCATTAACCACTCTGGCAACATGCCCGAATCTAAGAAGTAGTTTGCTTCATTTGATACAGGTGCGTGGCTTAGCCGGTACTATACTAATGCCGTGTAAAGAGAGCGAAATCTTCGAAGTTTTCTCCTTGAATCGCCATGCGTTGGTCCTTTAATAGTTGGATGTAATCTTCTCATATAGATCTTGTGTAGGCAAGACCATCTCCCATATCAAGAGGGTGTAAGTTACACGCCTATGTCCTAAGACACGTCTACAATACAATGACTATCTTGTCAAATAGCTAAAAAGAACAACTCAGACGATTCACACTTCACGACAAATCAGTGAACAATAGCGACTACTCCGTATGATTAAAATTACGTTTCTACTAATCCATCCTACATTCCGTTGCAGTAGTGTTTGCATTCCCAATAGGCGTAGGCTGGTATCAAAATGTCACCATGAATTTGTCTATGTATTTGTTATCCGTCCACTCCATCTACTCTGCAGAATATGCAAAAAAGATCTACTCCGTAATAATGCTCTACGGGACCATTTAGAGGGTCAAAATATTTGCGCAGATTTACTTCCCACTCGACAGAGCATCTTCAAAAGCAAAAGAATATTGAGATGGGCCTAATCCGGGATCGAACCGGAGACCTCGAACCATGCCTCGCGAGAGGTATGAATTCCCGAAGGGAGAAAGAGATTAATGGAGCGATAAAAGGAGAATATCGAACCATGCCTCGCGAACCATGCCTCGCGAGAGGTATGAATTCCCGAAGGGAGAAAGAGATTAATGGAGCGATAAAAGGAGAATATCGATAAATATAATTAATTCAAAAAGACTTGCATGGGCCTGATCCGGTTTCGAACCGGAGACCTCTTACAATTTGAATTCGGAAACCCAAAGCAAGAATTCTACCACTGAACTATCAGGCCTATTGATTTGATGTGATGTAGGGTTGTGTTTTAATATATATATCATTGACAAGTGCAAGCTTCATGGTTAAGCGAATTTGTTGGTCAAAGCTTTTACAGTTACAACCCCGCTGGAACGGCAGAGCGACTCCACCTAAATGCTTCTAGAAGCCTTCTAAATCTCTACATGATTTTCACTTGAAATGGCATCGTTGTTCTTGAGAGACTTTGTATCCTGAAATAGTTTCAGTATTGTTGATTGAACTTGATTCAATAGCGAGCGCCTCTCATTTTCTGTGCTCTAGTGCTAGAAAGGTCAATGTTAATGCTAGTGATTGCTACTTGTTATTTGCTTCTACCTTGAGATATGCGAGCTTTCCATTTCTATTGAGCTTTACAATCATCTCGATTCTACTTCATCCATTGTCTCTAGCAATCCTATTGTCAGGGCATCAGAAACCCGTTTCGCTTTAAATTGGCTTAGGGCCAATATATGTTATCGTCAAATGACTGACTTCGTCATCTTCGTTGTCTCGAAAGACACTGTCTTGCTCTTAAAAGCAACTGTACAATCATACGTACCCGATGACCAAGTGGAAATGCAACAATCATCCTTGAACTAAAAACTGTGAAAGACTGGAGCTAGCGCGTCCAAATAGATGAAGTTCATTTGATGTTTAGGGTTATTCCAATGTTCTGGACCTGTAATATGGTCCATCAAATTGATTTATATTATAGGTGTCTTCACGAATAGACTAATCTGAACCTCGGGCAGACTAAAAGATTTAGAATATTCAACTTCTTCCAATAAATATTTACATCATTTCACAGGTGCACATAGTCCTGTTATTGATTTGGTATAGAATAATGAATGTCTGAAGTCGGCAACAGTATCTTCGGAACCTCAAAATTAAGATCTTAAAATAGACTGCAGTCGGGACTGTTGGAAAGACTGATCTGAAAACGAGCTTCTCGTACATGATTTAAGGTTTCAGTTATTTGATCTCTATCAATTACTGCGGTTGTTCTCTACTATGATATTAGATTGAAAATTAGTGGGTTCAACAGAGTTGATATCAATATATTGCTACTCTTCCTACTAAAAAGAGCTAGTTGTGCAGCTTCACCCTACACGATTTTCATCTACACATTGGTCATAATATTTCGGCACAACATCATGGAAGGACAAAATTCGAATTCGTACGCTGTCAAGACACAGGCCATGCATTGACAATGTCAATGTACAGTATTTAAAGTTAATGGCATCTTAAACCGTCATTGGATTTACGATTATCACCAATTCACTAGATGATGTTTCATACTTTAACTTTAAGACTTCGAACCTACTCTATGTGATTGTTGACCTTGGTTCTCGTATCAAAATAGCAAAACAGGAATGGCCGAGGAAAAAGGCCAGGAGATAATCGGCAATATACTATTCTTTATTGTTATTAATAGAACACCTCTACTTGCATACCGGAACTCAATCCGGCCCAAGGGATCGAATACCGTCTCCATCAAGCATTGTCAAAACACATTGACAATACTATATCGTTCAAAACTGACGTCTAGAGGGGCGATGGGATTATGATCTATCTCGGTCGATGCTGCTTAAAAGAGCATCTTAGTGAATACGGCTTTTATACTGATGGGTTGATATCGAAAAAGAGTAATCCTTCGTCGAGATACCGACATTATAGGGCTCAAATAGCTTGGCTTTGACCCATTAGATCCATCCACAATACGAATACCTGATCGAGAGAAGGAATATGCTTTTGCGAACAGCTTAGGACAGTTGGTGGTAAATGGCGAGATGTAGAAAAAAGGTTCGATGGAGTACGAGGTGCTACGGATGATTGAAATAATACGGAGCCAACCGTTTACGAGCTGATAAATGTTCGACTAGTGAGGTCAAAAGAAGACGGTTTGGTTGACATTCAGTAAGAACGGGGTACGATACTTGCTGATGTTAGGAGATCGATGATGACTACGACAATGGAAAAAGTGTGTGAGATTAGAATAAGGTATATAAGTATCCAGTGCTAGCGTCTACGAAGATCCAGATTTTCCTGAAGAAATGTCGGTGCGGAAGTCACAATGAATTATTGTAGCGCTAATATCAATATGAATGCAAAAGATACCAAATTCGACAGAAGATACACATCTAACCGGTGCCCGGCAAGACATCCAGAATCAAGAATACATGGCAGTTCTCTAAACAGTGTCTTGGTGTGGAGACACAAGGCTCAGCATCTGCGGGAGCAAGGATTATATTATTCTGGAAGTATTCTAAGCGTTGATCACCAGGCTGGTCAGGATGATCGTTTGCCGCAAATGCACAGAAATGGGAATGCCGCCACTACCTTACTAGGAAGTATTCATTATACCTGTATGCCATTGGCTCTATAATCACTCCGTGATTGTTTTCAAAATTCGAGCAATATTACTTACCCCGCAACCCACGGTAAACTCGCCAGCCTTGCATCTCCATTCCATCTTGTCTTCTTCCCGGCAAGCGATATCCGTATTCCAAGACATCAGCACCACATTACACTTCTGAAATATTCACTATCTCCAGTCTTATTTTGACGTAAACTTAATCAGGCAGAGTATAATATTTCTTGGCTTCATGTATGGTGACGTCGATTTGATTCGCTGAGCCTTGTGATGAACATTTACGTGCAGCCATGGTGTATGAGTTGAAGAACAGTATTTATATTAAAGTCGTGAAATTCCCAAAACAACCTGAGAATAGAATCTAGATAGATGAGATTATCTAACTTCAACTATCACGGTGGCGGCACATGAATATTACAATCCATCTTCACAAGCAATACCAGGTCCAGGTATACTGAAACCAACTGCTGAATATCCCACATCGGCATATCATCAACAAGCACAACCTGATATCGCAATGAATGAACGATCAGCATATCCGACTCCTGCTGTCTACAATCCACAAAGTTATTCACAACAACAACCATATTATCCACCTCCGCCACAAGCTGTGGACTACAATTCTACTCAACCCCCAGCTTACGGGTATCAAACTCCGACTCAACAGCCTCATCAAAGAGATGGACGACATCAAGACCAGGCCGTCGAACCACACTCTTATCGAAACCTCCCCCCTCATCTTCGCCCCCGACGTTCTATATCCGAACCACCAGATCCCCATTATCTCGCTCAACACATCCCCGGCTATCATCACCGCGGACGTGCAACATCTTCCTCATATTCTTCCTCCCCAGAAAGATCGCGATCCCGATCGAGAAATCGAGCTCATTCACATTCGCGAGCTCGATCGACAAGATCTATGAGTCGATCTCGTCATAGACATTCACATACACACTCACGAGCATCCAAGACTCGAGCTCAGAATACTCATAAAGATAGAAATACATTTTTTGGTGCATTTGGTGGGGGGTTGATTGGAGATTTGATAATGCCTGGGTTAGGAACATTAGGGGGAGCGATATTGGGAGGGGTTGGAGGAAGGGAAGCTAGTAGGAGTGGACGTAAGAATGAGAAGGGCGAGAAACCGGAAAGGAGGAGAATCTTTGGAGGGAAAACATATGAGGAGGAATGGAGAGAGGGAAGGATTGCGAGGGGTGAAATAAGTGGTTGATGGATAAGGGTGTGAGAGAATTGGGAACGTGTATAAAATTTTTAGAGATTCTTTTCTTCGTGTATTATTGTTTTAATAAGATACCATTTGTCGTTGCAATGCTTTACTCTCAAGATACCTGTATATCATACTCTTGACCATCAGTTTAACATCTTGTGCTACATGCAGTATGTATGTAGTTGCCATTCCATGGAGGGACGAGGGTTGCTCCCCATAACGCATTATGCTTTCTTTTCCAAATTGCCGAAGCTAAATTAAAGAAGAAATACCTTATCAATAGACCAACTTGTAGTACGAAGTAAAGAAACCGTTAATAAGGTTGAAGATCTTCAAACTCCCGGACCTTGCAGGAGCCAAATACTAGTTAGCGTCGCTTAGCCTAAAGCTAGCCCCTCCATTCTCCATTATAACATCTAATTAATCCCTATCTTATCTCTATTTCTATTCTCTATAAAATTTATAGCATAAATTACATAGAAAATATTTTTATTAATTAAATTTTTTTAATAAATTAAAAATTACCAATTATTAATATTAAAAATAAAAAGTAAAAAGATAGTATTTCAATAAACCTTATATTTATTTCCATTCTATTTAAATAAACTATAACTTTGTAATATTGTATCTCTAGAAATCTATCAAATTTTAATTGTTTTATGTTAATTTTTAAAATAAAAATAAAGCTCTTGTGTAGCATGCTGGCTATGCACTAGAGGCATAGCTTACGTAACAGACGTAGCGGACATATTTAAGTACCTAGCTTAGCTTTAGCTTAATAACAAGACAGCTTTTACAACCCATTGCATTCTATGCCTATCATTTTGAGCAGAGTAAAAAGAAATTGATCACTGGCGGTTCCAATGTTTTAGATGCGAATACCAGGCTTTCGCTTGCACCATGGCAGAACCATTGGTACCCAGGTTGAAACACAAACGATTCCCTTTATTCTTCTGGACCCATTCGTGTGTCTTTGATGACAAGCACATTCTTAACTCTTCGCTCATATCATTATCTATAGATTCAATGTCAGCAATCAGTTCGTGGGCGTGGAGCATGGAAACTTACACGATACTACAACAGCCTCACGATTCGATGTCTTCTTTGAGCCATTGAACTCTTCGGCTTCTTCCTCTTCGTCATCCTCATCCGCCTCATAATCTTTGGTGCGCTTCCGGGTGGTCTTCTTCTTGTGGGTTATTCGGTTGTGCTCTTGGTAGCTATTTCGATGTCAGTTCGTAACGATTAAGAGTTTGGAGGACGTAGCATACATTTTGAAACTTCCGTGATAGTACCTCTATCTTGAAATACATTCTGCAGGACAGAAAGTATGGTGTTTGTTCTTGTCAACAGACATGCTTCGAAGTGTGTTAGCCTATCTGGGTTGAGTGCCGGCCATAGCATCGGATCATTCTCTAGATCATCATTCACGCCAGATTTTGTTTTCTTTGACGGCATCGTGCTTGATACACTACTGGAGAAATGCCGCACGCGAAGAAGTGAATAGCTGGTCAGAGGGTATTTGATTCAACAAGCCTAAGAGTTAAATTATGAAGATAGATAAAAAGAAGATCACCACGAAATTACTACTGCGGCAGTGGGATAAAGATTGAAACTGGAAGATAAATTTTACATCTGTTGATGTAGTAAGGATTGATGTTGATGATTAGAATTTGTTCCAATAAGAGAATAAGTAACTTATGATCAGATTTTTGGGTTTCTCTAAATGACATGAGGTTTCCGGTCGATACCGCACTGCCTAGATACACTTGACAAATGCAACAGTATAAGATGAAAATTCCGAACAAGATACTCTTTTCTTTCCACAAATGGATTCCCCAATGCATGTGGCATCAAGTACGCAAGAACTTCACAATCGCGGAATCATAATATATCTGGCCAATCTCAAGGTCGAGGGTCTTCAACTCTCATCTCGCGAGTACTCGACTACTAGACGACTGCTTTCTGACAGTATAACCGATTGCGAAAATCCTCGCAGAAGCGTGGCGTGGTTCTGAGACGTGCGATACTATATTACCTATTTTTACACGACAGAGAAATTAACAGAAGGATACTTCACTTCATAGATACCTCATTGTTTCTAAAACCTACCCAGATATGGTCTACATCTTTCGTAAGTACCAACCGTGGTTCTTCTCTCCATAGAAAGTGTCAAAGAAGTCTCATTATTATGAAGGATCTTCTTTTGTTGTACCTGTCGAAATAGTAACAATGTGAATAGGAATAACATATTCATCATGAAGATCTTCTCATATAATAAGCAAATTGGAATGTGAACCTCAGGGTATCTTCAAGGCTATGGGTTATACAATGGCCTCTTCAAATCTCTCCAACATGATATGCCCATCTACCTCCTTCATCCAATATCTTCTCTTCCTCCCCCAGTGCCTTCTGCGCCAGAACCTTTGCCTTGAATGCCGCGAAACCAGTTGCCCTAGCTTGCATCGCATCCTCTTCAGACATGTTTGTATTTTGTCTCCCCAAATAGTCGTACCTATCTGTTCCTAATCCATCTGTTGGTGGCGGTGGGGGATGTTTCCAATCCTCATTTGTACCTGACTCGGCCCCGAAACTTCCCGTCCTTCCTTTATGTTCGTCGCGAGTTGTGTTTTGTTGAGACGTGTGTTGCTTGCTATTGTCATGCGATTTGAAGGAATTTGGTGTGAATTCACCATTGTAGGCACGAAATTTGTCGTACTTCTGGCGGTCCTCCACACTCCCCAAAATCTCAAACGCTTCATTAATGAGCATCATCTTATGATGCGCGTCGATTGCGGAAGACATGTCTGCGGAATACATATCTGGGTGGTTTTCGATGGCTGAACTCATCGTCAGTACAATAGCCAGATATGATATTCATAATACACACGCGCACATATACATACCTTTCGCGTTTCTAGCAGCCTTGATTTCATCAAAACTCGCATTGGTGGCAAGTCCCAGGATAGCGTAATAGTCTGTTTCCAGTTCTATCACTGTGAATTTTCTTGGCTTCATGATATCAAGGCGTGATGCTTTGGAAGGATGAAAATGTTGCACAGTTGTGTAATGAAACTGTTTGATGAGAGAATGGCTTTTCTGCTGAAGAGAGTCTCAAGTAGGTATTCATACAAACGAACATTCTTTTCGCTTAGAAAAAGTTTTGTAAAAAGAATATATTCCTCAGAACACAACTTCACCTTTATTTTCACAACAAACTATATGAAACACAGTTTACTTATGTTTCTTGCGTCAATCCCATCACAATCTAGTATATGAAGAAAGGATTTCTAATCCCAATCTTTGTTACGCGGATAGTGTACAAGGGACATACAATGAGGTTTTGCTCGTCTCAATAGTATCATCAAAGCACGCGGCGACACAGCATGAAGTTTGAATCAATTCGTACCAACACCACAACAACCACCGCATGACGCGCCAAATGCAAATTAAGAGATCTTCTCATATAGTATCACAAGACTATATTTTTCGCACAGAGAAACTTCTTTTACGGCTTTTCTGAACAGCGCGCATTACGAAACACAAAGCTGCTTGTATAATACAGTACTATACTTTCTTCATCATGTCCACACTCGCAGAGGAAGATGAAGAACAAAATTGGGCTATGGCAGCATGGGTTCATCATCCGACCAAGCGCTCGATTCATACTACACAATTGGGAACGTTCTCTTGTAGCGTTCATTCCTGCGAAAAGACAGTTTCTGCGACGAAAGTGGTCCACGATGTCCGAGATCCATCGCGGTTGAAATTCTGCATCACAGGCGGAACCGACGATCCAACAATAGAGTTACGCCTTTCTATGTATGACGCCCCTAATGCTGCATGGCGAAATCTAGCAATCAGTCCAAGTCCAAATGTCATCGCTATGAAATTTCATCTCCTCCCACACACAACTCACCAGGCCCAGATACCCAAGTTCGAAAGGCAGATGATAAGGTTCAATCCTATGTACTCTGGCGTGGAGTTCGACCAACACCAACCCATCGAGGGCAATACATATGGGTTTTCGTTGGAGGTGGCATCTCTAACATGGCAAAGGGAGATTAGCGGACCCCCTGCGGTTTTGATTGAGTGGCAGGCAGAAAAGAATACAATGCTCAACATCGATCTGGGAAGTGTTGCACAGGATCACCCATTTTATGAAATGTCCAGAGATTTCATAAAAATAGGTGAGCTATCAGGTCCTGTCGGCTATGAGTTTGACAGGTACAGTTGCATTGTGCCGTGGTCGGCCTCCCTCGAATATTCTTTTCGATATCTCTTATCCACGCCGCAAAACAAGACTGCCTTCTGGCGGGTCGCTACAAACAGGAATACCCTTTTAGCCACCATACCTGTAACACTACGAGAAACACACAACTTGAGACTCGAGGAAGTTTGGAACTTAGAAGCCCAGCGACCAAACCGTTTCGTCAAACCAACTGGCGGTAAGCGCACACCCTTGAAGACGCGGTGCGACTTACGAGGCGTGTATGAGCCTCATCCTGTTGTCTGCCAATTTGATAGCAACATGGCCACGGAGTATTACTTGAAATTACCATACATTCTGAACATCGACGCGGCGGCCGAACAAATGAGTTCTACCTGTGATGGGTATTTGAGGCACAAATGCATCAAGGCTAGGAAGTATATCCCAGATGCATCCGATGATACTGTGGTGTTTTTGGCATACATTCCTATTGATGGCGAATGCGATGATGGAGATATCATATTTCCTCTTGAAGGTGACTTGGCGAAGGTTGTCTGGACACACAAAACCTCAAAGGATGAGCGACCGATTGTATGGCAGGGAAAAGTCTTGATGAGCCCGTCCCATCATGATCGTCAATGGAACGTCGCGATGATTGCATGGATTAAGGACTCTACAAACGATTACGAGGCGTTACTGAAACGCGATTTTCAGCCCAGGTTTACTTTTAAGTCCCCAGAAACCGGAACCACGACCCTTCTAAAGTTTATTGATCGAATTTTATATGGAAATCCAATTCTTAATATCCGGTATAGAAACTGGATCAAAACCTTCATGATGGCACAGCGCAACAACAGAACCATGGATATTGTTGATGTCGGCATGAATAAAACAATCGCAGCACAGACGGCTGCAGGGCTGAATGAGGATCAGTTACTGGCCGTGCATACTATGCGAACCAGTCCGCTTTGCTTTATACATGGTCCCCCGGGAACGGGAAAATCTGATATTGCTGCTAAGCACGCAGTGGATTGTGCTGCTTCGGGACAGAGGGTGGTAATAATCGCCCAGAGCAACCTGGCAGTTGCAGAAATCTTAGATAAGATTGTCACATTTTGTGATAGATTTGGATTGCAAGATGTCAAGCAAGCCATCGTTTGGAACACGGCCGACTCCGGTGGTGAACATGACGAAGAAAAAGCATTTTCTGTAGGGGATGCATTGATGAAAGACGATGGCATTTACGATTTTACCACTGAGGAAGGCTTCGTCAATACTTCCGTCATCGCATCTAATGTCAAGAAAGTTTCTCATCCTGCTGCCGTGAAGAAGGTCGTTATGCGAGATTTAGAGAGACTTAAGACCGATGTCTGGTATGGATTGAAGAATTCCGAGACGCTTCGGGATGCAAACAAGACCGACTTTATGATCGGCACGGACGACGCCACTACGTCATTATTATTCGACATCCATCTCGTCATGCAACATATTGAATCCCTAGAGAAGAAGAATCAAGTAAATTCCAATAGGAGCCCTCTTGATGCTACTGCACCAAGCGTTATCCTCAAAAAATCCCATGACGCAGCACGAGACGAGAGAATATTTGATAATATGTCAATCAAATATCTTAAGAAGAAGTTAGCCAAGCTATGGCAGGACGCCATGTATCACTATATCACACACAACACTTTGATTCTGGCGACAACCTTTGGAAATCTTCCGAGCGTCCTGATTCGTCAATTCGGCGCGCAGCATCTGATTGCTGACGAGGTTTGCAATGCAACCGATATGTCGTTCTGGGGTGGAATGGCCCGCTTTGCAAATACACTCAAGAGTGGATGTGGGATTGGTGATCCAGAACAGAACGGACCTTTTGTTGCAGGAGGTAGTCGCAACTACATGAGAGACCAGCTCTCGATCGACGCAATGTCTCGCATGACTCTCGCTGGGATGAAACCAGTTAGATTAACATATCAATATCGGATGCATCCCGATATATCCGCATTACCAATTGAGTTTCTCTATCAGGAGACTGACGCAACGGGAAATAATTACTCGGTTTTGAGAGACGACCCTTCAACTTTCAATAGATCGGAGAGACCATTAGTAAAAAAATGGTGTTCTAAGTATCTAAATAAGAAACTTCACGCGACAAAGACTTCGGTTTTCGTTTCGGTAGAGGATGGCGTTTTACTTCGAGCTCAAGGTTCATGGTCCAAGACTAACCACCAGAACGTGGTGGTTGTTTGCGATTTAGTGAAGTCCCTTCTCGAGGAAGGTATCATGGCGGAAGATATACTGGTTATATCCTTCTATGGAGAGTCTGTCAGTCTCATACGTCGTTTCCTTAAATCACAGAATATCCAAAATGTAGATGTTGAGGTACCTTCTGTCGAAGTTTGCTCCGTAGATGGCTCGCAAGGAAGAGAAAAGATGGTGGTTATCATTGAAAGCTCTTCGCGCTGTCATTTTGGCGACACCCCTGGATTTCTTCGCCAATCGAATAGAATCAACGTGGCGATGACCAGGGCGAGAGAATGCCGAATTTTCGTTGGACACCGCCTCATGTGCTCAACCTTGAATTCCAAGATGAGAGTCACGAAGGCTTTGAAATTGTTGAAAGCTATCCCAAAGAAACATGATGCAGAAGGTCAATTAAAGGTTGTGAGAGTTGGCAAGAGAATATTGGATTACGAAAATGACTTGCGCCCAGACGCTTATGTACAAGTTGCGAAAATATTACCCGCCATGGCAATGTATGACGCGCTGCGATAATACCGAGGCCGATAACGCGCATTTGATATAAACCCCAAAAGTAGATTTCTACTTAAGCTAAAACCTAATTTAGAATTTAGTAGTGTATGTATAAGAAAAAATAACATTCAATTCAGTATACAATTTTAAAGGAATTTATAAAATAAGAATAAAAGAGAGCTAGCCCCTTCATTCTCCACCGTAGCGTCTAATTAGTCCCCATCTTATCTCCACTTACACCCTCTAAGAAATTCACAGAATGGATTACGCAGAAAATATTTACATTGATCAAGAAAGACTCGGCAAATCGAGATTCATTAATCACCAGTATCAAAAATGAAAAGTAAAAAGGTAGCATGTCAATGGACCCCGCATTCACCTCGATCCCACCCAAGCAACCTGCAACTTTGCAACGTTGTATTCCTAGGGATAAAAATGAAGCTCCTGAGCAGAGCAAAAAGAAATTGATCACTGGCGGTTTCGAACCGCCGACCTTGGCGTGCCAAACCTGGCTGATGAATCAGATGAGATATTAGCACCACGCTCTAACCAACTGAGCTAAGCGACCGGATTATTGGTTGATTTGATGAGAGAGGGACATCAGGAAAGCATATGTACAGAACTCTGAAGAAGCCATAGAGAAGAGATGAGAGAGGGGTGGAGGTGGTGTGGGGACAAGTAGTTGATGGAGAGTGAGTGAACGTAGATGAAATTGTTGTAATGTAAATGAGACTCACCTGAAGGCCTCTTCGCATTACCCTGAAATCCAATTGTCCACCACCATAGACAAAGAAGTTTTTTCACTTACATAGAATGGAAGCCAAAATGATGCGAACAGCTAGACAGACGTTCATGATGAAGGGTAATATCCATTTTTGAATAACTGCTATTGCAGCGAAAGCAGATCAACAATAATGATACATGCTTCGTCATATACAATAGAGAGAGAGAGCTCCCCAAGATGGAGCTCCAATAAGCAAATTCGTATACTCATCCTATTCCATTCCAAAATCAGTGTGCGCAATTGTGTGATACCCTATGCGCCAATGATATTTCCATTCAACACTGCATAGAAGAAGAATAAATGATGAGTGAAACTTTCACTTTTTGGCCTTTCTGCCACGTTTCTTTGGCTCTGCCTTTTTCTCCTCTGGCTCTGCTTTTGCTTGTTCCTTTTTTTCTTCCTCCTCGTTTGGTTCCTCTGACTTTGGCTTCTCTGAAGTTGGTTCCTGATTTTTGGATTTCTTTGCCGCAGGCTTCTCTTCTTCTTCAGTCGCTTCATCATCTTCATCCGCTGCCTCATCACTAACGTTTTTTCTCTTCTCTGCTGCGGGCTTTGGATCTAACTTTTCTTGTTGTCGAGCGCTACTTCGCGTTCCTTGTCTTTGTACCTTCTTTTCCTTCTTCGGGGCAGCTTGTTTCTTTTGAACAGGTGCCTTCTTCCCGACTTCTTTATCAGCTGCCTTGTCGTCCGATCCATTTGCTTTTTCATCAGCGGTTTCCTTGCCATGGCCATTCTTCTCCTTCTCGGAATCTTTCAATTCAGCAGCTTTCTCCTCCTCGGATTTCTTCTCGGGTGTTCCTTTCGTGGGTTTGTCTTTAGATCCGGGTTCATTTTCGTAATCACCTCCTTCAGCTTCATATTCTTGACCGATCTTTTTGGCCTGAAGTGATAGTATGTAATTAGTATATGGCACCACGTAAGAAGAGTTTCAGATGAACATAACGATGGTTGAAACCTCAGAATACTGGTTGCTGTGGGATCAGATGACTTACCTTCCATGCAGCCATCTTTCCTTTACCACTACCATCTTTATTCGTTTCTTGCTTTACTTCTGTTTTGGTAGATGTTAAGAAAGGATCGGACACAATCAAAGGTAAGGGAGATTTCAAAGGGGTCGCGGGATCACGAGGGGGAAAATGAAAAGAAAGTTCTTTACTTTCAGTAATGTCCTTCTTGAGCTTGGGATCAGTTGGCTTCCCTTTAGCAGAAGGCATATTTGCGATGGCGGTGATATGAACCCAAAGTTTTATATAGAGAAATTATCAATGATAAAATGCGATGAATGGGAATTGTATGCACATGAAAATATCCTTAATTTTAATTACAGATAAGAGATAGATGGAATTTTGTGGAAAAGGCATAAACAATGAGATGGAGAAAGAGCGAGGTTGGGAAAGAGGAGAACCAAAATCAATGTCGTCAGTGTATCGCGCCTGCACCTGCAAGGGATAAATATAATAGGGGCTAAATATAGGCGTGCGTTTGTTTTAACGACGTGATGGGATTGTGTGCGGTCCAATAACCGATTCATGCTAATAAGTCAGATACAACTTGTTACTTGTGTAAATTATTTACATGCAAGTAAAGAGAAACGTGAATTGCTTTGCTCAGATGTTCTCTACCAAGTACAATCAAGTATCAATGGGTGAGCCATGGATGTTCCTGTGTTTGACATTGAACAGATGGACTGAAGCTTAGTACCTTCCACCACTGTTCCTCACTGGGTTCAACTCAAAATATTTGAATTAGCCGGGACTTTGAAGTTACTAGAAGGTAGATGGATTCCCCTCATTGACGTAGGCCGCCCACGCCTGAGGTCAATTAGTTGGAAGGGCTCTGATCATCGAATTGCTGCCAAATTTTGTTCCTCGAGTGAGAAACTCCTGCTGGATTAGATCGATTTTTTCACCCATATGACGTTTAAGAATGAATTGCATACACGAACGCGATGGTGAAAAGTATGATGAAATTCGTTGATACGGGTATCTTAAAATGTGCCTACCCCCCCCCCCCCCCTCCTCTCTACTTCTGGATCCCATTCTCACTCTGTCAATCAATTAAACGTCAACAAAGTGGTGGCATACCTGCCTTAGATGCTGGGAAACATTTGTGGTAAGGGAGCACTGGTGTATAGGTAAGATTGCAATACCAGAGAAATCTGCCATGGAATCGAGGTGCACTGCATGAGATGTACTAGATAATTTGATTGCGATGGCTATATGTGTTGACTGACCTAGTGGTTCAGAGAGGCTCTCCTCGCATGATGACCACACTCATTCCTACTTCCAGACTTCTCTGGCAATTTTCATGAACTTTAGTTTGATAAAAGTTTGTTGAGCTACCTAGTACATATCGCATCACTTTATTAGACAAAGGGGAATGCATTTGGAACGTGCTGGATATATATATTATGGCTCTTAAAGGCCCTCCCAGGATAAATATTCATAGAATATCATTCACTAAAAACAGTGTTATGAGTTTTTTTATCCCACCCCATACCTCACTATGAGAATACCAGATTAGATTGAAAAACAATTCCAAGCGCCTCGGCACGGTACGACGCGTCTCCAACAATATCGACGCGTACAACAATTCAGTCTGTGAATGATATTCATATCTAAACAACCTTGATGGTACAACTTCGAGTACGGCAAAAGAAAAAGTAACATCAAGAACTTGTTAATCCACACAAGATGACGCATCGACTTCATTCCGAGTCTGCAAAGAAAAGGATGTCAACGGTCAAGAATGTCAAGCCAAAGCCATCTTACGAAGAGTAGGTTCTCTCAACAATCTCACATGACACATATCAATATTGCCTTATATACATTAGAATATCACATCTAACAAAAGTCCAACAGCATGCTCGATAGTCCCATAATAGACCTCTACATCGGACCCAAACGCAAAAAATTCAGCATCCACCGCGGACTCCTCTGCGCCAAATCCCCCTTCTTCGCAGACATCTTCCTAAACAATGACGAACTCAGCGAAGAAAAAGAAGACCATTATCTACCCAAAATTAGCCCGGAACATTTCTCCATCATCATGAAATGGCTATATCGCGGTAGTCTGGACGCCGGATTCGAAAACGAAGGAAATAAACCAAGTTGTGCAGCAATAGAAGTCTACGCGTTGGCGCATCAATTGGGAATGACAGAGATGATGGATAAAGTGTTGACTGGATTAGGAAGAAGATATGTGGAGAAGAGGTTTACGCCGAATGTCTTTGCAATTGAGTTGGCGTTTGAGTTAACGGAACCGGTGGGCCCCAAAGATCGGGACTGTGGACTGAGAAGATGGATGGCAAGGTGGTATGCTATTATGCTACTTTTTCCAGAAGGCGTTTCGTCTACGGCTGGGAATAGTATCTCGGAGGATAGTTTGGCTGATCTAGGTTTGAGATTTCCGTCTCTGTACAAAAGTGTGGTTGGACTTTTAAGAGGGGCAGAAGGATGGAAGGATGTTAGGACTAAGTTCTATGACGAAAAAGTATGTTCTTTTCATGAGCATGAAGCTGGGGATAGAAGTTGTGAAGATGTTGGAAAGTTTTGGGGCATTTTCAGAAGTAAGGAGACCGAGGCTGGGTGGATGTCAGTGAGTAGAGGAAAAGTTTAAGAGAAATTTGTATGGATGTAGGGTTTTGATTTTTGACGGCGCATTGGGTGGGAGGATGGTGTACAAATTGATATCGAGCATGACATCCGTTTGGAGTTTGAGCATTGGATATGTAAGAGTTGGGGGCACAACTCCAACAGAAAATTAAGATACCATTTCCTTAAAATCCATTTGCACAAATACAGTGAAGGTTACATACGTAGATAGCTATATAAAATTTACGTCACCCAGTGTCTGTAGCCAAGTGGGGGCTACAAAGGATATGCTCCAATTCCAGATAGAAGTAGGCTTTCTTGGACGGCGCCGAAAGAAGCTTGTAAGTCAACTACGGTTGTTCTCGTAGATTCTTTTTGGGAGAAGGTATTTGACGCCTAGTGTTGGTCGCTCATATCAAACAGTGCTTGTTTGAAAAGACATGGAAGATTTTCACCAATTAGAAAAACAAACAATGTCGTAAATCGTCCTTTGTTGGAAGTGCAAGCCTTGATCTATGAACAGGTGCATTATCCCACCGATATAGACTGCACAAACCGCATTGATATCAATCCCAAAAAGCGCAAAGAGGGGAGAGTTCCGCAGTCGCAGTAACACCACCAAATACAAAGTATCTCCATGTCGTAACATTTAGAAATTGACCACCACAAGCCAATTGATCACACATAATAGTTATGATCCATTGAATATCCTGCCTCCTCCCAAGCCGTAGTCCTTCACCTCTCCATCTCTCCTTTACTTCTTGGCTGGGTACTTGGTCTTGAAAAGGTACGAGCTCAAGTAATAATCTCCAACAGCCAAAGCACCCACAACACCAGCCCACGCACCCACGACCTTCCATGTCAACTCTCCCTTTGCATATTTTGAATATGCTCCGAATCCCAATCCAGTGCTCAATGCTGCGACGGCGATCGCATTTCCAATCACGACTGGGTTATCACTGTTCTCTTGAACACGGCTCTTGCCCTTCTTTGATTTCTTGGAAGCGGCATCCTTTGCAGCGCGAAGCTTAGCCTCGATTTGTTCAGCTTCTTGCTCAAGACGGTTGGCTTGTGTCTCGGTTTGGACTGGTTGTGATTGGAAGTCTGAAGGAACAGTGTGCACGGAATCGGTGTCGACGTCAATTAAGGAGGAGGTGGAGGCACTTTCGGTGGGGATGACAGATGGTGGGGCAGGAGCACGTTTCTGTGGTGGGATGATTAGTTCTTGACCTGAATGAGTAGTAAATATCGTCGGAGGTAGAAGGGATTCCTTTGACGACGATGAGAAAGGAGACATGGGTTGAGAGGATACAAAGTAAATGTAGAGGAGTTTAAGAGAAATTCAAACATACCTCCTCATCGGTCTGTTGTGGACCTGAAGCTGCTGCTTGTGCGTAAGACATCTTTTATATGATATGAGTAGGTATAATGGGTGGAAAGATGTAGGTGTAATGTAGGAATTTGCGGGTGTCTTTCGAGAGGATGTGAATATATCAAGATGGATGATTTAAGTTGACGAGAAATAGAAGTATGGAAACGATAAAATGTCGTGTGCGAACAAGGGAAACATGTGAGAAACCGGGAAAGATTTCAATGAACCTTAGGTGTGGCTGTGGCTTGTGGATGTGGCTTAAGCTGGATCTTCTCGCTTAAAGTGGGTTTTTCATCTGTTGACGTAGGCGGCTCAAGTGGAATGAGAAAGATTCTAGAATCTAGACTCTCTCGACTCTAGATTCTGATATGGAACCACCTGCACTCACACATATAACGCAATCACCAACAAGGAAAATGTCATAGCACAAACCATACAAAATACATCAATATTTCAATATAAGTTGCCGGCGATATCAAAATGATAGTAAAAGCAGTTTTGTATATTCCCTTGTGACTAACTACTGAGTACTCTAAAGTGATAAAAGGCTCTTGTCATCAAAGCTTTCCAACTCTGAGAGACAAAGAATCACAACACTACATCCTGCATACTATACCTCCTATCTACTACATAGGTACAAATCAACACCATTCAGACTATCGTGAGTTGAGTTGAGTTTTCATATATCATACATACAGAATAACAAGAATGCCCAATGGTTTCGTCTTTTTTGGTATTACATTTGTACAATAAAATTACAGTCTAAAAGGACTTATTTCTTTGTTGTAGCATCATGAGCAGCTCGTGGTAATAATTCCCCCCCCTCATCGCCAGAATTTTGTGTAGACTCAGGTGTTGTGCTGTTTCGGCTATCCCTATGTTTCTCTTCCGTTGAATCCGAATTGGACTCGATAGCCTTTTGTGTAGTTGGCTTCGCTGGCTCTGATTTTTCTTCAGGCTTCTTCTCGGATTTTTCTTCGGGTTTTCCAGATACTGCGGCCTTCTGAGACAACGGTTCCGAGCCATCTTCTTCTGATCCATTTGCCGCTTCTCTTGCTCTAAGCTCCTCCTCTATCTCATCCTCCTCGTTCTCCAATTCTGATGCATACATCTCTGGATGAGCTCGGAAGCAATCTTGCATTCCCCTAAACATTGTTAGTCCTGATCGATCGTCGATGTTCCAGACCCGCAGACTCACTTGAACTTTTCTATACATTCAACACCCTTTGGCTCTTCAGTGGAGTGAACAAAACAGCTAAACGCAGCTTTGAACTCCTCTCCACAAGGTCCATGTGCCATGCCTCCCAAACAAGGACAATCCCAATTGATTTCACCAGTTTCCGGATTGAATGCGCCTTGTTGGCCAGCTTCATCTTCAAGTCCTTCCATCTCTCCTTCCTCCTCAGCTCCATCTTCTGCAGCGACTGCTTTTGCGGCCGACTCGTGCTCCCTCTTCTCTTGTTCTGCTGCTAATTCTGCATGTCGTTTTCGCTTTTCTTCAATTACCGCATCGAGAGTGGGTAAATCTGATTCTCGAACTCTGTGTATTGATTCATCTAATTTTTGAATTGCTGTTGTGCCAATCAGCATCTCCTTGAGATTCGCCTCCTAGCTGCTAGTATTCTCATACCTTCTGGTTCTTCGGCGAAAACATTGCTCGTATTATACCAATATACTCCTGCACCTGCCAATGCCCATCTTGCAGCGCTGCTTTTCCAACTTCGGGACTTTTGTGAGGGTGGTGCTGTGCTTAAGAATCGTCGAGCAGAAGTGGTATTAATGACAGATTTAGACTGTGGTCGTGAGCATTTCGGCGCAACTCTCAAAACTGATTTGAACATGCTGGGCTAAATTCGAGAAAATGACTGTGAAGATGAAAACACTCAAACGAAATATTAGGAATCTCAAAGAATAGCAGACTCGAATATGAACGCCGTGTTTGTAAGCATCTCTGGATTTTCCGAATCACCGATTCGAGAAAATATCTGGATCATGTGATTGATGATGATAAGATAAGGTTAAGATATTGTCGCAAAAGTGTAGGTTTCTTAACTTTCTCCTCCCACCAAGCAGAATGTCTATGTGTTCTCTTACTTCCTTATTGTAGCCCCCCATGATAACAGCGTTAAGTAGTTTACACTGCTGGATATAGTCTATTTGTTTTCTTCTCTTTGCCTTCTTCTCTTTGCTAGGACTTTACAAGCTGAAAGGTTAATGGTCAAATTCGTCTCAGCATCTACACACCTTCCCCTAGAACCTTCACCATCACAATAAAATTATGGGATCCCAAGATTTTGTCACTTGGCATCCTGCTGATATATTCTCTGATCATCCAGCCGATCATAAAGAGTTTGCGCTCATTGTCCTAAACCAGCCTCTGGAGCTGCCTTCTAACATCTACAAGAAGTTATGGGATAATGCTGTCTACCATATCGCAGCTGATGGTGGCGCAAACCAAGTTTATAACAGGAATCACAAAAATCCATTCGATGGAAATACCTTAGACCCAGCCCTCCAGGATGAAAGAAAGGCTGAAACCCATCTTGACATTGATACTATCATTGGCGACTTCGACTCCATGTCTCCCAATCTCTTCAAATATTTTGAGGATAATGGCACCGAAATCATTAGGGATGGGGATCAGTATTCCACAGACTTCACCAAAGCAGTGCGATATGTCAAAAGTTTTGAGCAACCTGTTGGCTCAGAAAGGACTCCTCCATATTCCCATCGTCAGAAGAAACTCGATCAACTCAAGCAATTGCCCAGATCTCTCGATATCATTTGCCTGGGAGGTTTAGGTGGAAGAGTTGATCAGGCTCTTTCACAACTTCATCATCTTTATATGTTTCAGCAAGAACCAAACTATTCCAAGGGCAAGATGTACCTGGTTTCTAGTGAAGCTATAACCTTTGTTCTCAAGGCTGGAAAACACAAAATAAAGATCAAGGAAGAGGGCAAATTGCTGAAATTGGGAAAGCACATTGGAATATTACCGGTCAAGGAACCTTCGATCATAACCACGCAAGGCTTAGAGTGGGATGTAACAGATTGGAAGACAGAATTTGGAGGTGATATAAGTACCAGCAACCATGCGAGGGAGGATTGGGCGACCATTGAAACGACGAAGGATGTTGTATTCACCATCGATTTTGTTCTCAACAAGATGGATGAATAAGATCAACTTCGCCTGGACGAGCGATTCGATGATCTCGGGGCCTGAAATTAGAGGATTGAACATGATTCCACTGCCCACACTCTCGATTTGCCGAATACTCTTTAAGACGATTCTCGCAAAGTGGGATCAATCTTGTTTATGTTATCAACACCCCTCATTGTTCAGGGTGAGCAATGAGGCGAGACCAGTGTGCTTTAGTCTTGGGCGCTATTGTTACCTACCTAGTATTAGTCTCACGCGCCTATATGCGCTCCTCCTAGATACCCGTCTTGTCCATTAGACTTCTAGAATATAAAGTCTTACTTGTATGTTTCTCGATTGCTTGTTTACCTTTGGTGACAAATTACTCCGTCACCATTTACTCTCCCAACAAAAGGTTTCTAGAGAATCTGTATTAATTGATTGAGTTAAAACCCAACTTGACAGCAGTATTGAGTGTTTATACATATATAAATATATCTTTGGAATATTCTTCATCAATACCGTTAGACTGTACTTGATCCAATGTCTATCAGATCTCTCTTCTCTCTTTCTCCACGAAAAACCCCATGTTGCCAATGGCCCATTGCCCCTCCCTAAACTATTCTTAGGTTAGCTCCTTCCGATAAGGTTAAGCCCACCATCCCGATAAGCATGCAACAACCAAATTTTTCTTCTTCCCGATATTTTTCCTTCGGAGTCATATTCGATTGATTCCAACCTTCACAACCCATATCCTTTTAATTCAATCTTCACCCTCCCTCTCTCATATATCCTCATATCTTCTCACAATCTCCTAACAATAATTCAAAATGGCTTCTACAGCTGCTGAGATTGAACCTCACAAGGTTTATGATACCATTCTCACTTTGGATTTTGGATCCCAATACACTCATCTTATCACCAGACGTCTGCGCGAACTCAATGTCTACTCTGAAATGCTTCCATGTACCCAAAAGCTTGCAGATCTCGAATGGAAGCCAAAAGGTATCATTTTGTCCGGAGGACCATACTCAGTTTATGAGGAGGGTGCACCACACGTTGACCCCGCATTCTTCGAACTTGGAGTTCCTATTCTCGGTATATGCTATGGAATGCAAGAGATTGCTTATAGAATTAGCAAAGACAATGTCATTGCTGGCACAGCCCGCGAATACGGACACGCTGATTTGAAAGCAAAGAAAATTGACAATGGACATGTCGACCAATTGTTCGCAGGATTAGAGGACGATGTTAAAGTCTGGATGAGTCATGGTGATAAGTTGGGCGCATTGCCAGATGGATTCCACACTATTGCTACAACTGCAAACTCTGAATACGCAGCAATTGCGCATGAGAGTCAACATATCTATGGTATGGGAATTTAGATCTATCTATTTGGAGAGTCTTTTCCCCCTGATCCAAAGCTAATCAAACTCTAGGTCTTCAATTCCACCCCGAAGTTACTCACACCGAAAATGGAATTCAACTCCTCAAGAACTTCGCCGTCGGTATCTGCGGAGCTCAAACAAACTGGACTATGGCAAAATTCGTGGATCAGGAGATCGCTAGAATCCGTACATTGGTTGGAGAGAAGGGTCAAGTCTTGGGTGCTGTCAGTGGAGGTGTTGATTCAACTGTCGCTGCGAAATTAATGCACGAGGCTATTGGAGACCGATTCCATGCCGTTCTCGTCAACAACGGTGTTATGAGATTGAATGAGTGCGAACAAGTACGAAAGACATTGACAGAAAATCTCGGCATCAATTTGATTGTCGCAGATGCATCTGAAGATTTCCTCGATGGCCTTGCCGGACTTGATGAGCCAGAAGCAAAGAGAAAATTCATTGGAGGAAAATTCATTGATGTTTTCGAAGCCGAAGCCAAAAAGATTGAAGACGCAGCAGCCAACTCTGACAAAGCAGGCAAGATTGAGTTCTTCTTGCAAGGAACATTATATCCAGATGTTATTGAAAGTATTTCATTCAAGGGCCCTTCCGCGACTATCAAAACTCATCACAACGTTGGTGGTCTTCCAAAACGCATGACAGAGGGTCAAGGACTCAAGCTTATCGAACCCTTGAGAGAATTGTTCAAGGATGAAGTTAGACAATTGGGAAGAGAGTTGGGCATTGCCCATGAACTAGTTATGCGTCATCCTTTCCCAGGTCCAGGTATTGCCATTCGTGTCTTGGGAGAAGTTACTCGGGAACGTGTCGAAATGGCCAGAAAGGCCGACCATATCTTTATCTCTATGATCAGAGAGGCGGGTCTCTATGACAACATTGGACAAGCTTTTGCAGCTGTTGATCCAAGTAGAGCTGTTGGTGTCATGGGTGACAAGAGAATGTATGGAAACATCATTATCCTGAGAGCAGTTCAAACAACCGATTTCATGACTGCCATCGCATATCCTTTCGAGAATGCATTCTTGTCCCGGGTTTCTACAAGAATTATCAACGAGGTCCACGGTGTTTGCAGAGTCGTGTATGATTACACTAGCAAGCCTCCTGGAACTATCGAGTTGGAATAAATGTCAAGTTTTGTGTTTTCGGCGTTACCTTGGTACATGTATACCTAAAGATTATAGATACTCCAAATCGGTGTTAGGAATGAAAAAAAAACAGAAATTATAGTACAAGAATTTTGAACATCATATGAGTTTGTGATTGTGTATGATAGGCAGTTAATTTAAGATAAAGGAGCATGGATAATGAAGATATATTTTGGAGCAAACGTCTACATCTGCATCTGCATCTGTATTTAAAAGGAATCGATTCTACGTGTCGTTACCGCTGGTTCTGCGGACAATGAGCATGAAGGGTTATGATAAAAATCTTGGGCATATCGAATACTAGGACCTGAAGGTATTATTATGACTTGAGGGAGATTTCACGTCCGACCAATCATGAAAACAGAAGACAGCTGAATCCACGGCTGAATGTACAGGTCTCAAGGTGTTAGGTAGGTAGGCACGAGCCCTCGCAAGTACAATCAATATGGATGGCCAGGATAATTTCATGTTCACCAAATATAGATTCCTATGCATTGTCCCCAACTTCCAAGACGATGATATGTTAAAGAATGATTACCTAATTTTTCAAGATAAAGTTCAATTATTATAGATACAAAACATGAAATCATATATTCATTCAGTCTTATCCTTGGTGAATGTTTGATTGTTTCCTTTCCATACATCTCCATTTTTTCCTATGCACAGCCTCCTCTCCATAAATCCTTCCAGCCTGTTTGATCATCTCCCATCTCCCAACACCCGAAACAGTAGCTCGACATCTATGCGCCTCTATTATGCTACTTTATACAACAAAGACCGGGAACGATTATCTAAAAAGAAAAGAGAAAAAGACTCTATTGATGAGGAGCCATTCCGAGGGAGTTGTTTCCTCCGTTGAATGCGACGAATTGAGACTTGAACATAATGTCACCGTAAATTTGAAGGTTGGAAGTAGTGGCTTGAAGACCTCCGAAACAGGCTGTGAGGAATCAATGTTAGCATATTGTTCATGAAGAAAGAAGATCAGGTCATAACTTACTGGTACCAGTGTTATCAACAGGAGCATAGTTGATATCAGAACCACGGACAGTAGCCATGTAGGTTCCTCCAACATCGACAGCCAAATCTGGTAAAGTGGCAGCGCAAGGGAATGTGACACCACCGACAGTTTGGTTGTTGACAGCACCTTG